TATAAGCTATTATTTCTTTGTAGCTTCTTCCGGTTCTTTCAAACCAGGAACTCTCAATGAGACGAAAGAGACTGCTTTAGATTTTATAAAAAATAACCGTGCTGGTTTATTCAGAGGATCACAGGTAAAATTCACAGGACACGTCCAGAGCTCTCTCACCCCTCTGCCTGCAGGCAGCAGAAAAGCTGAAGATGTCTGGACCCAACAACCTATATAATATTAATCATTTTTGGGCTAGCCCATGCTACAAGGGGCGTCAAACCGTGACGCCACCCGATAAGCAAGCTTTGCAGCTGCTCTATCGTTTAGCCAAAACATGAGGAAAAGTCAAGGTGCGTGACTGTTGTTTTCGTGGTGTGTATCTAAACAATTGGACATAACCTTACACATTAAGACAAATATTAAGACTAGCATTACAGTTGACCCTAAAAGCTCTTTTCCTGTAACCTTGGCGTGCCTGCAGTCCTCACTGCAGGCTGAATAGTTACAGCAAAGCTAGTCCCCCTGTCTGCACTAAACATTTCTAGACAACAGATCTCTAATCCATATCTATCTAACTAAGAAATAACCTAACACTACACAGCCTTATGTTGATTTACTATTTACTTGCCCCTTGCATGGGGATATGTACATGAACAGTGAGAGCCAATGTACCAGAGTCAAATTCATCATGTGTCCAACACAACTGGCCAATAAAGCAGATTCTGATTCTGAGTTTATGCTGAATAATGTAAAGAAAGAATAAGTAAACTAACTAAATAATAAATAAAAAGGTTTTCATGAACCACAGATTGTCTTATAAAGAACAGTTGGATAAGTCAGGTGTAGCTGTATTCAGATCCTTACTGAAGTAACCAGTGCAACTCCACAGCGTAAAAATACTCCTTTATAAATAAAATTACTGTAGGCTACATACCTGTACATGTAGCCTATGTATCACCCTTGACCACAGGTGGCAGTATTGAGATCACTTGAACAAAAAAAAAGAAGAGGAAAAGAACAAACTACACTGGGACAAGCCACATAAAGGTGAAAATTACGCTTTATTTATAGTGTTTTCAGACATCAAGAGCAAAGACTTTAAGGATGGTAATTAAATGTTCAGTTATGCATATGTGTGTCCGGTTTATTTGCCCATCTCCATGGGCCGTGTCCCAACTGTTTCATGTAGATGTGTTCGGGACAGTCCAGTAACTAGATCTTCTAAGCTAACCGTTTATGTTGTAGAAGATTGTTATTCCATCCATCCATTTTCTAAACCGCTTAGTCCCAAAGACCAATCCCAGCCAGCTGCAGGCGAAAGGTGGGGTACACCCTGGACAGGTCGCCAACCCATTGCAGGGCCAACACACACACACACACACACACACACACACACACACACACACACACACACACACACACACACACACACCCCTGAGAATGTTCCAGGACTCAAGGAATGAGGAGGCTGCTGGAGGAGCCTTGAGTGAGGATACAGTGTCCTGTCTAGACTTTACTGAACACACAGACCGAGAGGAGTCATCCTGTGGGGACGCGACATCCTTATTGGGACAAAAAAACAAGTCCCCAAAACAAAAGACTTTAGTCTAGATTTTAGAGTGATGACTTGATTTGAGGTTAGGGTTAGGTTAAGATTAGGGTAAGTCTCTGGGAAATGAATGTTAGTCAATATAATGTTCCCTAAAATGATGGCAACACAAAGTGTGTATTCTTAAATCAAACTGAAGTGCATACAGTGGAAAAATCTTATCAGTACAAATCCTGTTTCTATAAACTTTCAACTATGAACACTTGAGGGCAGTGCAGTAC